TACAATTTAAAGCGCATTTCTGTTTATGCACGCGAACCCGTCTAACGTTATTGTTATTTCGCAGTTATATAAAGTAGCAAATTATCGTTCCTGAATAGGTGGCGCCGTGGTAGCCGATCCTGTTATTCAATTTCCGGTTTCTGCACTGGCCACAGACCACAATTAAATTCTCTATTAGTTCTTTATAACGTTTTGTTTCATTAAAAAAAATGCTCCGGTTCTTTTTGTCAAATATTTTGTGTGTGTAAAGTACAGTACTAGTCCAAACATATATCAAACATTCAGAAATATCGCTCCCCAGCATCTTACAAATTTAGCCAATACACATCCATACCCCTATGGACAAGTCAAGAGATGTTCCGAAAACTGTAAATATCACCTTTTTGCATCTGGCCTAATTACTCTTTCCATATCAAAATCAGTTAAAATACAACATCCAAAAGTTTATTTCACCTCTCTTCTTTCATTTCCATCCAAAAAAATCTAAGAAATGAGTGAGGAAGGGAAAGAAAAAAAATTAAGAAAAAATACACTCTAATTAAAAGGAACTATATTCGTGGACAACGAAAAGCGGGATCATTAATTGTGGTCTTTGGCCTATTAGGGGTCTAAACCTTGACCAATTCTAATAAAACTTGGTATGATTTAAGCTTAGTGTATTATGAAACAGTTTACAAAGTTTCAAAGCCATATGATACCAATTATAAAAATTGTGGCATTTTTTATATCTGAACTTTGGGTGCTGAATTGTGGCGTTGAATAAGTATAATTTCAACTATCAAATTTGGGCTTCTAAAAACCAAAATATACCAAAACTTACACTTTTTAATGTCTCTATGTATAAGTTATCACCTATTAAAAGCAACAGATAGCATACTTCATGTTTCAGACTTATAAAAAATGGCCAGAAGTAAATTTCATATGGGCCTGTGCCAAAAAATAGAGGTTTTCAAATGAAGTGAGGCCTTATATGAAATGTAATATTTTTCACTTACCACAATTTTCTGAAGTTGCTAAGTTATAAAAAAACCTTTTACATGTTATAAATGTACTTTTAATGGAAATATAAGTTTCAAATAGCATAACACATGTGAATAAAATGGTCTTCAGCAATGTCAAGCTTAAAAAAACAGGTTGTCAATTTAGGTCGTTCCCCACATTTGCATATTAAAAAGCATATAAATGATATGGGAGATGAAGATATGCTTCTTTTTGCTCAAATCTTTGCTCAGATATGATAAAACATGGAGCCTGGATGTAACAAGACTGTCACTTTCAACTATATATGTAGACAGTATGATCTAATGCAAAGTTATTTACTTTACTTTTTAAAACCGGCATGAAATTTCAGCCTCAAAAGGCCAATATTTTAACCACTAGCTATCAAACAAAAGAAAATAAAGGTAGTCTGTGAAACAGACAAGGTCAAACAACCAGTAATAAGTGCTTTTGATACAGTTTCAGTGAAATCTGCTAAAAGGAATTCAACTTGTATGTGCATAGAACCTCATTTTTCACTTGCTTCATACTGACCATTAGACTAGGACCATTAAAGCAGCACATTTTGCACTCTTATTCTGATTTTATCTACTTTTTTTGTATGTTTAGTGTTCAAAAATGAGTTAAACATCTACATTAGATACCACAAACACAAGTAGAAAATCAGAAAAACCTGTGAGAGAGAAAATAAGCATGCTACTTTTGTAAAAATATTGAAACAACTGAAAAAGTTCAATTTTGGGCATGTAGGCTGAAATGTCACTTTTTTACAAAATTTCTATCAAATAAAAGTGGAAATCATTTATTCTCATGTAGTTTGACAAATTAATACCAATAGATCATTCAGGGAAGTTGTCAAAGTACAAATTCAATATTTCCTGAATTTCACCTCTTAGGCCACAGACCACAATTAAATTCTCTATTAGTTCTTTATAACGTTTTGTTTCATTAAAAAAAATGCTCCGGTTCTTTTTGTCAAATATTTTGTGTGTGTAAAGTACAGTACTAGTCCAAACATATATCAAACATTCAGAAATATCGCTCCCCAGCATCTTACAAATTTAGCCAATACACATCCATACCCCTATGGACAAGTCAAGAGATGTTCCGAAAACTGTAAATATCACCTTTTTGCATCTGGCCTAATTACTCTTTCCATATCAAAATCAGTTAAAATACAACATCCAAAAGTTTATTTCACCTCTCTTCTTTCATTTCCATCCAAAAAAATCTAAGAAATGAGTGAGGAAGGGAAAGAAAAAAAATTAAGAAAAAATACACTCTAATTAAAAGGAACTATATTCGTGGACAACGAAAAGCGGGATCATTAATTGTGGTCTTTGGCCTATTAGGGGTCTAAACCTTGACCAATTCTAATAAAACTTGGTATGATTTAAGCTTAGTGTATTATGAAACAGTTTACAAAGTTTCAAAGCCATATGATACCAATTATAAAAATTGTGGCATTTTTTATATCTGAACTTTGGGTGCTGAATTGTGGCGTTGAATAAGTATAATTTCAACTATCAAATTTGGGCTTCTAAAAACCAAAATATACCAAAACTTACACTTTTTAATGTCTCTATGTATAAGTTATCACCTATTAAAAGCAACAGATAGCATACTTCATGTTTCAGACTTATAAAAAATGGCCAGAAGTAAATTTCATATGGGCCTGTGCCAAAAAATAGAGGTTTTCAAATGAAGTGAGGCCTTATATGAAATGTAATATTTTTCACTTACCACAATTTTCTGAAGTTGCTAAGTTATAAAAAAACCTTTTACATGTTATAAATGTACTTTTAATGGAAATATAAGTTTCAAATAGCATAACACATGTGAATAAAATGGTCTTCAGCAATGTCAAGCTTAAAAAAACAGGTTGTCAATTTAGGTCGTTCCCCACATTTGCATATTAAAAAGCATATAAATGATATGGGAGATGAAGATATGCTTCTTTTTGCTCAAATCTTTGCTCAGATATGATAAAACATGGAGCCTGGATGTAACAAGACTGTCACTTTCAACTATATATGTAGACAGTATGATCTAATGCAAGGTTATTTACTTTACTTTTTAAAACCGGCATGAAATTTCAGCCTCAAAAGGCCAATATTTTAACCACTAGCTATCAAACAAAAGAAAATAAAGGTAGTCTGTGAAACAGACAAGGTCAAACAACCAGTAATAAGTGCTTTTGATACAGTTTCAGTGAAATCTGCTAAAAGGAATTCAACTTGTATGTGCATAGAACCTCATTTTTCACTTGCTTCATACTGACCGTTAGACTAGGACCATTAAAGCAGCACATTTTGCACTCTTATTCTGATTTTATCTACTTTTTTTGTATGTTTAGTGTTCAAAAATGAGTTAAACATCTACATTAGATACCACAAACACAAGTAGAAAATCAGAAAAACCTGTGAGAGAGAAAATAAGCATGCTACTTTTGTAAAAATATTGAAACAACTGAAAAAGTTCAATTTTGGGCATGTAGGCTGAAATGTCACTTTTTTACAAAATTTCTATCAAATAAAAGTGGAAATCATTTATTCTCATGTAGTTTGACAAATTAATACCAATAGATCATTCAGGGAAGTTGTCAAAGTACAAATTCAATATTTCCTGAATTTCACCTATTAGGGGTCTAAACCTTGACCAATTCTAATAAAACTTGGTATGATTTAAGCTTAGTGTATTATGAAACAGTTTACAAAGTTTCAAAGCCATATGATACCAATTATAAAAATTGTGGCATTTTTTATATCTGAACTTTGGGTGCTGAATTGTGGCGTTGAATAAGTATAATTTCAACTATCAAATTTGGGCTTCTAAAAACCAAAATATACCAAAACTTACACTTTTTAATGTCTCTATGTATAAGTTATCACCTATTAAAAGCAACAGATAGCATACTTCATGTTTCAGACTTATAAAAAATGGCCAGAAGTAAATTTCATATGGGCCTGTGCCAAAAAATAGAGGTTTTCAAATGAAGTGAGGCCTTATATGAAATGTAATATTTTTCACTTACCACAATTTTCTGAAGTTGCTAAGTTATAAAAAAACCTTTTACATGTTATAAATGTACTTTTAATGGAAATATAAGTTTCAAATAGCATAACACATGTGAATAAAATGGTCTTCAGCAATGTCAAGCTTAAAAAAACAGGTTGTCAATTTAGGTCGTTCCCCACATTTGCATATTAAAAAGCATATAAATGATATGGGAGATGAAGATATGCTTCTTTTTGCTCAAATCTTTGCTCAGATATGATAAAACATGGAGCCTGGATGTAACAAGACTGTCACTTTCAACTATATATGTAGACAGTATGATCTAATGCAAAGTTATTTACTTTACTTTTTAAAACCGGCATGAAATTTCAGCCTCAAAAGGCCAATATTTTAACCACTAGCTATCAAACAAAAGAAAATAAAGGTAGTCTGTGAAACAGACAAGGTCAAACAACCAGTAATAAGTGCTTTTGATACAGTTTCAGTGAAATCTGCTAAAAGGAATTCAACTTGTATGTGCATAGAACCTCATTTTTCACTTGCTTCATACTGACCGTTAGACTAGGACCATTAAAGCAGCACATTTTGCACTCTTATTCTGATTTTATCTACTTTTTTTGTATGTTTAGTGTTCAAAAATGAGTTAAACATCTACATTAGATACCACAAACACAAGTAGAAAATCAGAAAAACCTGTGAGAGAGAAAATAAGCATGCTACTTTTGTAAAAATATTGAAACAACTGAAAAAGTTCAATTTTGGGCATGTAGGCTGAAATGTCACTTTTTTACAAAATTTCTATCAAATAAAAGTGGAAATCATTTATTCTCATGTAGTTTGACAAATTAATACCAATAGATCATTCAGGGAAGTTGTCAAAGTACAAATTCAATATTTCCTGAATTTCACCTCTTAGGCCACAGACCACAATTAAATTCTCTATTAGTTCTTTATAACGTTTTGTTTGATTAAAAAAAATGCTCCGGTTCTTTTTGTCAAATATTTTGTGTGTGTAAAGTACAGTACTAGTCCAAACATATATCAAACATTCAGAAATATCGCTCCCCAGCATCTTACAAATTTAGCCAATACACATCCATACCCCTATGGACAAGTCAAGAGATGTTCCGAAAACTGTAAATATCACCTTTTTGCATCTGGCCTAATTACTCTTTCCATATCAAAATCAGTTAAAATACAACATCCAAAAGTTTATTTCACCTCTCTTCTTTCATTTCCATCCAAAAAAATCTAAGAAATGAGTGAGGAAGGGAAAGAAAAAAAATTAAGAAAAAATACACTCTAATTAAAAGGAACTATATTCGTGGACAACGAAAAGCGGGATCATTAATTGTGGTCTTTGGCCCACTGTGCAACTATTACAGTTGCATTTTTAATTAACGATGCCAAGTACTTGTTGTTGTGTACCTGGATGTCATTTAAGAGGAGGACATGCATTTCCAAATGACTTAAAAAGAAGGAAAAGTTGGATCAACGCCATGGCCCATACGCAGATTGGACGAGAACACGGTGAAATCGTGGAGTCCATCTCAATCAGCTGTTGTTTGCCAGGCACATTTTACTGAAAAAGACTACGTGCAGGAAACTATTCATGGTAAAACTCTATTTTCTTTTTAAAATATATAGTTATATATGTAATCGCCATGCGAATAAACCAAAGTCTGTTTACAACCGCAATTATCGTTTTAGAATAAAAGGGGGTGGTTAATTCAAGACGTCATAATTTTTTTGGATTACGATTCAATGTGATCTGTTTGAGATTTTTTGGTGATTGCTACAATTATAATGATTTCTTACAAGAGGTAAATCATACTGAGAATTATTTTAGCAGTAATTATGCTAATGTAGTAATGACAGGAATGCATAAGCTATGCCTCATAGACTTTCTTGAAAAATATCAATGACCATGTTAACAGGAACAAAACAGTGACATGCTCTCATCTATATTATAGTTATTTAGGTACAAACAATGTATGTTTGTTGCATACGTCTGTCATTGTTTGTCCTTTGGATTTACATAACATACATTTTGATGTACATTGAATCAGGCTAACATAGTTTTATCCAGATTGTAATGAATAAATCTAGTTAATATTTTGCCAGGTAGTACAAAGTATGCATTGCTAATGGAAGTTCATTTAATTATCAAAAAACTAATGTTTTGTAACCTTTTTCAGAGCGCAAACCCTCCATACAGAGACTTAAGTCTACTGCCATTCCCAGCCTATTTTCCTGGATCAAGCAAGAGACTGAATCGTCCGCAAAAAGAAAAATCAGGGCAGTTTCCTGTGAAAACAAAAGAACTAAACTTGATGAATATTGTAGTAGAAATCTAGAGGAAAGTTTTGATTGTAAAGTTGGTTTTCCTGAAGAAGTCATTCATACTGCAGACAGGATTTATGACTGTCCACCACCAACTGCCGAGCTAATGTTGAGCTTCACAGATGGAATTACGCAAACACCATCAATGCCTATATTTTCAGCAGAGAATTTTAAAATGAAGACACGTGACACAGCCATGCATTTTTATACCAGTTTAGAGTTGTATACTAAATTTTTATTTGTTTTGACCACACTTGGTCCAGCAGCACATTGTTTGAGATACATATATTTTCAAATTGATAGGGTGTCATTTGAAAATCATTTTTTTTATGACTTTGATGAAATTGAGGCATTATACAACCAACTTTGAACTGTCTAGATTCTAGATTGAAACTAGTGTTAAGAATATTGTGTAAACATGGATTGTTTTTATGTCTAAACAGTGGCGTGAGGCTAACACTTGGCCATTTAGTGGTTTAGTCAGGTATTTTTCGCCATCCAACTTCAAATTAAAGTTTCCTACAACTTGGATTATTATTGACAGCACAGAATATCCCGTGATAAAACATAAAGCTCCTAGAGCTCAGGCAACCTTTTCATCATATAAAAACAGAAACACTGAAAATACTTGTATGTTCGACACCTGGTGGTTTAGTCAACTACAAAAATGTATGTCTCTAATGCATATCTTGGTTGTACCAGTGACTGTGAAATAGTTGAAAGATGTAGAATACATGTGTAGTTCAATTATGTGATCCAGGTGACAGTGTGATAGCAGACAAAGGTTTAAATGTGCAAGATTTGTTTGCTCACTTTTTTCCAAATTAGTTCCAAAACTCTTATACGGGATAGAAAAGTCTCCAATTAACACGTGCACATAGAGCTAATTATTGGACTTGGCAAAACATACAAAATTCTAATAAATCCTATGAATGGAACTGAAACAAAACTTTCATCTGAAATAACATTTAGTTGTTTTATGTTGTGTAATTTTAGAACTTGTATTGTGCCAAAGGATGCATAAATAAAAGTGACACAATGACGTTTGTTCTGATATATATATATAAATATTATTTACAATTACATGCACATGTAAATTGTAATGCATAAAAAAATAAGGAGATGTGGTATGATATTCAGTGAGTTTATCGAACCAAAGTGCATAAGAAATGGGTTAAGCAGTTACAGGTGTTACTGTCACCGTACAATCTCCAACAATTAGAAAAACTTGTACCGTGTAAAAAATTTCAGAGATCTTACAACTAAGTTTGACTTTGGTGAATTGTTTATATCTGTTGATGTAAATATAAAAAAGAAGATGTGGTATTATTGCCAATGAGACAACTCTCCACAAGAGACCAAATGACACAGAAATTAACAGCTATAGGTCACATTACGTACTTCAACAATGAGCAAAGCACGTACCGCACAGTGAGCTATAAAAGGCCCCGAAATGACAATGTAAAACAATTCAAACAAGAAAACTAACGGCCTAATTTATGTACAAAAAATTGACGAATAACAAATATGCAACACATAAACAAACGACAACCACTGAATTACAGGCTCCTGACTTGGGACAGGCACATACATGTACATACGGAAAGGAAAAGTGGTGTAACAGTACAATATAAGTCTAAAGAACGAACTATAAAAATCAGTTGAAAGAGGCTTAACTCATCAGATGGAATAAATACAAATACAAGTGGACGTGGCCGGGTAGTTGTACATCCAAACAACTAAAAGACACTAAGTACAGATCTGAGAGTACTCGCATTTACTGACAGCTAGTTCAAAGCCACTAACAACTGATAAAAAAATCTTGCATCTAAGACTAAATTATCAGTCCGTAAGCTCCCTTTAGAATTTTATAAATTTTAGATTTTACATTTCTGAGTTGTGGGGTTTTATTCATTAAAAAAGGGGGGATTTTCCAGTTTTTGGACAACAACTCAAAAATGCTTTAAGCAGTTCGCATGAAACTTTGGTGAATTATTTATAGCTATTGATGTAATCTCCCTATTGATTTTCATAAATTTCAAATATGACATTGAGAAGAAATTGAACTTTATTTGTTTATAGTCTGGCAACAGATTTATTAAGTATTGCGCAACAGCACAGTGTATTGCACAACAGCAAGAAATCTTTAATTGAATATAAATTCAATTCATATAACCGATTTCAAGTTCTTTGACTACATTTATTCAGAAACTATAATATGTCAAATATTTAATTACAATCCAAATTCAGACCTGTATCAAGCTTGAATATTGTGTCCATTTTTGCCCCAACTGTTCAGGGTTGGACCTCTGCAGGTGTATCCAGCTGCGCTCAGCGAATCAGTTTATTTCTTAATTAAGAACTCTTTTTTGTCGAGCCTGCGACTTTTGTCGCAGAAAGCTCGACATAGGGATAGTGATCCGGTGGCGGCGTTAGCTTACTTCTTAAAAGCTTTATATTTTAGAAGGTGGAAGGTCTGGATGCTTCATACTTTGTATATGGATGCCTCATGTTACGACAGTTACGAAGTTTCCGTCAGTCACATGTCCAATGTCCTTGACCTCATTTTCATGGTTCAGTGACTACTTGAAAAAAAAGTTAAGATTTTTTGTAATGTTAAATTCTCTCTTATTATAAGTAATAGGATAACTATATTTGGTATGTGCGTACCTTGCAAGGTCCTCGTGCCCGTCAGACAGTTTTCACTTGACCTCGACCTCATTTCATGGATCAGTTAACAAGTTTAAGTTTTGCTGGTCAAGTCCATATCTCAGATACTATAAGCAATAGGTCTAGTATATTCGGTGTATGGAAGGACTGTCCAACTGGCAGGTGTTATCTGACCTTGACCTCATTTTCATGGTTCAGTGGTTATAGTTAAGTTTTTGTGTTTTGGTCTGTTTTTCTTATACTGTATGTAATAGGTCTACTATATTTGGTGTATGGAATGATTGTAAGGTGTACATGTCTAGCTGGCAGGTGTCATCTGACCTTGACCTCATTTTCATGGTTCAGTGGTCAAAGTTAAGTTTCTGAGTTTTGGTCTTTTTTTCTAATACTATATGCAATAGTTCAAATATATTTGGTGTATGGAAATATTTTATGATCTATTTGTCAGTCACGCAGGTTTTTTTTTACCTTGACCTCATTTTCAAGGTTCATTGCTCAGTTTTAAGTTTTTGTGTTTTGGTCTGTTTTTCTTAAACTATAAGCAATAGGTCAACTATATTTGTTGTATGGAAGAATTGTTAGCTGTACATGCCTGCCTAGCATGGTTCATCTGACCTTGACCTCATTTTATTGGTTCATTGGTCAATGTTTAGTTTACTTGGTTAATGTTAAGTTTATCTGACAGTTGTAATAAAGCTTTATATTTAGGACTATCAACATAATATCAATGATTAGTAAAGAAGGCGAGACATTTCAGCGTGTGCACTCTTGTTTCATTCATAAATTACTTTATACTTGGAAATATAATTTTGCTTGGTGTTATAGTTTCTAAAAAAAGTATTGTCATTGAAAGAGTTGACATGTTACAATGTACATTTATTCTACATAGTTTTATGGTACCAAATCAAAAGTTTATATAAAAGAAAGAAGTCAAAGTTTTCCCATCATAGTTTAGTTACATACATTTTTTGCACCTGAGGTCGTTGAATATAGATCATTATATAAATAAGGAGATGTGTCATGATTGCCAATGAAACAACTATCACCCATACATTGTACTTACCAGTAACAAACCACATTTGCAAAGTCGAATAAAATACAGTTGATAACATTTACTTATTACTAAAAAGAAAATGCCAAACTATTTTTAACAGTATTTGACTATAAACATAGATAAAAAAGGTACAAACTGGACATAATGCACTAGTTCATAAACAAATGAGAACAATCGCCTTCATATAGTGCTCAGAATAAGACATTCATAAAACTTGTTCAATATCATTAGAGAACTCTAAATCTTAAATACTGAAAGCCACCTCTGATAAGTACAATGTACTATGCAAGATAATGATATAACTGGACTAAAAATACACACAACCTGTAATTAACTGCCTTTACAGCGCTTTCGCGCTTTGATTTCTAGTTTCCAGACAATAACTTGTGTTCAAGTGTATGGATCTCTCTGAAATTGTACTGCAAGGTACCATACCACAAAGGGAAGGCTGGGATTGATTTTGGGGGTAATTGCCTCAAAATTGTAGGAATTAGGGGCAAAAAAGGGGCAAAAAACAAGCATTTTGCTAGTTTTAGGACAATAACTTGTGTGTAAGTGTATGGATCTTTATGAAATTGTACTACAAGGTTCCATATCACAGGGGAAAAGCTGGGATTGAGTTTGGGGGTAATTGCCCTAAACGTTTAGGATTTTGGGGCCAAAAAGGGGCAAAAAACCAAGCATTTTTCTTGTTTCCAGACAATAACTTTGTGTTCAAGTGTATGGATCTCTCTGAAATTTTACTGCAAGGTACCGTACCACATAGGGAAGGCTGGGATTGAGTTTGGGGGTGATGAATCATAAGGGGGTTCAAAAAATTTGGGGGGGATTTTTTTTCCTTTTGTTTTCTTTAAAATTTTCCATTTTAAATTGGTTATTTCTGATTTATATATAAAAGCAAATAATAATGATGCGGTTTGAATAGGTAAATTAGAAATTTTAAAGTTCTTAGACCACATTCATTATGTGAGCCTCTTGTTTTAATTGCTTCTGTAAGTAATATATATTAATTTGAAATTTTGACGACAGACACATACAGATTATACTGTTAACAATATTTCAGAGTTTAATGTTGTCAAGCACACAAATCATAGAAGAATAGTTAATCACGTCATTGTTGTCCATTGAAAAATTAGTATGAACACGATGAAAAAGTACGGGAATGTTTGTTTGTTAAACTATTGACCGTGGTTATGTCTTTGAAACTGTTGACTGGCAAATAGTCTGTGAAATGAAATAGCACAAATATTTCATTCTTTTTTATATCATGGTATATAGAAAAACACATACTGATGTATAATAATAGTTATAGTGACTGTCATTAAATTATAGTTTTTACCTTTTTTAAGTTTAGGGCAAGAAATATAGAAGATAAAGAAAAATATAAACAATTACAACTGTACAGTAGAAATGATCGGCAAAACAAGATAAACAGAAGACAACAAGGCCTAAATGGTAAGACCACTTCTATATAATAAAAGTGATTGCCCTTGAATGATGACTATTATAAAAATAAGAAGATGTGGTATGGTAAATGAGTTATCTATCCACCAGAGTTCAATGAAGTGGATGCGAGCAATTAAAGACCAATGACGGCCTTCGATAATGAGAAAACCCATACCTTATAAGTCAGCCAATAAAGACCCCAACATGAAAAGATTTAAACAATCCAAATTAGTTCAAAGCCAATAACAAGTCATAAAAAAATCATGTCTGTGAGCACTCCACCTAACCATAATCTAGGACAGTGGTTCAAATAGCACAACATATGAACAAACTGTAAAAACTGTTGCAAGTGGCTCAACTCATTATCACTGCAAGGCACTAAAACGACTGATATTAAGTCGTGGAGACAAAGCACTGAAATAACAGAACTCATAATCATGATTAGTAGGAATATCAAATTTAAGTTTCTCAAAATGTTCATATTAAACATGATAAAATAATCTTATTTCATATTGCTGTTTTTTTCTCAATTTATATTTTGTGTATTTATAGGTGCAGAGACTTCTTGGTTTTCATGATCATCAACAGATCAATACAGAAGAGGAAACTTAATGTTAATACTTTTCTACATTGTGTGCTAATTGGATTAATGTGAAATGAAATGTGTGCTTACCTGGAAAAAGAAAATAGGAAATTTCTACAAAATGGCTGTAAACAAAATGGAGTACAATCATAGATGCACAAGAACACAATTGTGTAATTGCAACAACCTACACTGAAGGATTAGGGAGAAATGTAGAAAAAATAGTATTTTTTTGTCGAAATAAACACCTGCTTTATCCATTCATGTACATAGCTCTGTCATATCAACTATATAGAGGAAGATGTTTGAAGAACAAATTGCAAAAATGTATTCTCTACCAATTGAAGGAAGATGTCTGGTGGATGGAATTATTTATGCACTGAACTGTTTTGTAGGGGATTGAATAATTGTACGCAGCAGAAAAGTTAAATTAACATGAAAAGTGGTTATTTTATTTAATCCGCAAATATGAGCACAATATTAATAAGATCACAAATAGTATATTATTCATAGCGTTTTGCTTATTATTGTATTGTCTCAAACAGCTAGCCTATTGTTTTTGTATGTCATGTTACTCATCAGTGAACATTTTATTAAAGTTTTAATTATCTTTTGTATCAATTATTCAGTCTCAGGAAAAATTATATTCATACTGTTTTTACTGTTATGAAATTTTCATAGAGGAAAATTGAATAAGAGAAATTTCCATAGAGGAAATTTGGAGAACAATGTTTTCCTTAGAGGAAATTTGTGGTCTTGAATTTTCCCTCAAGGAAAAGTGTTTGTCAAAAATTTCCTCACAGGAAAAAGTATTTCCTCAAAGGAAAATTTGAAGCCGCAAATTTCCTCACAGGAAAAAGTATTTCCTCTAAGGCAAATTTGAAGCTGCAAATTTCCTCAGAGGAAAATTTGAAGCCTCAAATTTCCTCAGAGGAAATAGAATTTCCTCAAAGGAAAATTTGAAGCCGCAAATTTCCTCACAGGAAATAGTATTTCCTCAAAGGAAATATTAATGCAGCAAATTCCCTAAGGGAAATCTTTTTCCCTTGAGGAAAACTACTTTTCCTCTGAGGAAATTGTTGAAAAAAGGGGCATAACTTTTTCAACAGTGGTGCTAGAGCCAAAATTTTTTAGGACAAATATCAGGGAACCAATACCAACCAAGTTATCAACTTCATTTTGACTTAACTCCAAAAATTAAGGTGACAACTTTTGCACTCAGCGGAAGTGCAAACTTGTCCCGGAGACTGTTATATGTTTAACTTTGTTTCGCTGAAATTTGTACTTAATAAGAGCATGGTTGGTTTTGGTTTTCCTATGCACAGAATGAAGACGATTCCGAATTCTGATTTCCCTTCTGATTTCCGAATTAAACCAAGGTTTATCATTAGGTCGGACAAGAATTGCCTTGGACGGTATATGTTTCCGAATCATCTCAAGATATTTGAATGTAAATCTTTCAGACATATACATGATATTGATAACTATGTAAGGAGTTGGTTTGGGGGTTTATCTTAGGTTTAATTTAAACTCTACAGTCTTGTATGGTATCTTTTAATTTGTTTTGAACATTGTTTCCTTACTTTATAAAACATAGCAAATATTTCAATTTCGTATCTACGTCATTGGACGATTTTTTATTTCAGATTTCTGGTTATCCTTACGTTATCTTCAAACTATTCACAGACTGAACAAATTAAAAAATACAAGTTATGACAATCAGTCACAGTAACGTTTAGATACACATTTGAGATTTTGATTAAAACAACAGTATGAAGTATTTCCCTATTTTAATTAATGTCCCCTAAGCCTTTGATAAAAAATAGATATCTATCCACATTTCTATTAATCTATGTGTTCGTTTATTGGTGTTAGTGAAAAACAAAACATAAGTATTTCTTGTTTCTCAAATTTTCTTCAATTTCTTTCAATGTTTGAACAAATGAAAACCGGGTGTTATTAGAAAATAAAAATGAACGCGATAACTTCTATATTGGTAAGATATACAATTAGACAGACTCATTGCGTATTTCTTAAGAAGCACTCCTGTATTCATTTTTAAACAGAGAAAAACTTTTCGCCGCCATCTTAGAAGACGTAAATAAATAAAGTCATTTGCCTTACTGACCACGCAAGCAAAAACAGCTTTTATAGAAAAAATGACATTTCTATTTTGCATATATTATGATTTATTTTAACAAAAGATGTTTTATATTATAAAAAGATTTTTTTAGTTAGAAAACTAAACTCGGTAGATGTTATGTTTCTAAGTGTTTTATAAATGTCTTCAACAATCTTCCTGATAAGAAAAAATATTAAAAGGGAAATAAAACGCGTAAACAAATCGGAACGCGGAAACTGTGACAGAAAATGAAAAAGGGTACTAAAAAACTTCTGTTATACACGGATAATTTTTCAGTTCACACGCAATTAAAAAATTACAAGTCATGTAAACTCTTTATGACATTTCATGGAAATATAAGCTTCCGTAAAAACATCTTAGACGTAAAAAAATAATTTAATTTTCATCATTTATGTATAACAACGTGTGACTAGGTTAACGATCTGCAATACTTCCATAATATCAATTTTAAACATCGTCAATTATATCTTCACATTTAAATTTTTTATGATGATTGTTGAGGTAGTAATTTTAATAAGTAACACTTTCAAATAAGTTAAGCTTGTTATCCTATATCTATCTTAAGTCCCCGAGAGTATTATCAGTAAATGTTCTGATTTATGTGTTTGGGGTTCGTGTTGCTCAATCTTTAGTTTTCTATGTTGTGTCGTGTGTAGTGTTGTTTATCTTTTCGTCGTTTTTCGTTTTTTGCCATGACATTGTATCTTCCGCCTCTCTTTTGAAAAAAAAAACTATAAGGTTCCAAATCCCTAAGGTAACGTTGACTGAGATGGTTCTGGCTAACCTGATTAGGTTTCTTTGGACCATAAAGTGTCTTAAGTATTTAGACAACCTTGACTTTCAGATATTAGGGTTTTAGAGTTCCTTGTACAGTTAATCCAGAAAAACGCATAAGACGCACCATATTCATATATAAAATTCCCTGTCTTTTTTAAAGATTACTTTTAATCCACAGTGTGCAGATTACCAGACATTTTTGTACAAGAATAATGAGGCATTGGGTCAGATTTTCAGCATTGCAATTTACAATCGGGGTAAACTGTAACTGGTTATAGAGCAGTACGAAACAGTCTATAACAGTTCTATCCTAGAACTGTCCAACGGTAAAACTGTCAGAATAAGTTCCGGGGGGTAGTGATGTCAAAATCGGTTCAAGGTGAAAACTGTCAGAATCTATTCTAGGATAGAACAGCTCTAAATTAAACGTTAATTAGAGCAGCTCTCTGAGAATGAATAAGAATAGCTCAAGTTGACGAGGAAGGGGCAATGGACATTTGAGCGAAATGGCAGGACATTTGAGCGATTAAAAAAGGACGTTTGAGCGCCAAAGTATAGGACATTTGAGCGCCCAAATTTTAGGACATTTGAGCAAAAATAAAAAGTTATCATAGGACATTTGAGCGAAAAAAAAGATGGATGAAGGAGTACTCTTCCGTTCGCAAGATATTAACTGTTACCCTTTTTCACCACGGGTAGGATTTCGAGCAGGATATAGTTAATAAAATGTAGAGTTTATAACGCAAAAAGTTTAAAACATCTTTAAAACTTAAAACCCGGCAATGGCATTATTTTCAAGTCAGTTCGGGCTTGAAATTTATATCCTAGGCTTCTGACATAAAAATTCCTCGTTATTTCCTGCTGGCAGTACCGCGAATGAAAGTCCAGGAGATTATGTTCCTTCTCCTTGTCTGTTCGGCTATTGAGTTTGGTTGGTAAGTAGATATCAACTCACGACTACACTACCATCAACTAGCCAGAACCGGTCGAATTACTCAGGTGCAAAATCGAATAAAATATAGTTATTTTAAAGACTTAACTCTTTTTTCTTACTTCTTAAAAATATTTTCTTAAGTCATATTCAAGTATCACAGGAAATTTCGCTCGAATGTCCTATTTGAAAATCCAGGTAGGGTTAATATTCCGGCGCTCAAATGTCCTATGATGTCGGCGCTCAAATGACCCTAGTATGTGTATTTTTTATTTTCGCCCAGGTGTCCTATGCCCCGAGGAAGCAAGAGGCAGTTCGCTTGATTTCCCCTGTTATGCATATTCTTAATTAAGAATTAAATAGTAAAAATAATTACAGTCTTGGATGTATAAAATAATGTAAGTCATGCCTGTTATTCGTGTTTATAATAAATTGTTAATCAAAAATATTTTATTTGTATATAATAGTGCTGAAACAGAAGATGAAAATACTTTTAATATTTCCGTAATTATACTAGTATTGTATTTTTCAAAAATAGTATATTCTCTTTAGAAAGACAATCAAACAGGTTAATTAGTTAAAACCCGCCACTTTCTTTATCTGCCTGTTCCAAGTCAGAAGCCTGTAATTCAGTGGTTGTTGTATATCATATTTGTTTTCTCGTTCATTAGTTTGTACATAAATCTGGCCGTTAGTTTTCTCGTTGGAATTGTTTTATATTTGTCATTTCGGGGTCTTTTATAGATTACTATGCGGTATGGGTTTTGCTCATTGTTGAAGGCCGTACGGTGACCTATAGTTGTAAACTTCTATGTCATTTGGTCACTGGTGTAGAGTTGTCTCATTGGCAATCAATACAGATCATCTTGTTTTTATATTTTTAACATTTCAGGACATTTTAGCGAAAAATTCAGATTTATCTCAGACAGTATAGCCCATTTTAACGCCAAAATTATTCTTTCGGGTTTTTTTTGTAGCCATATTAGCACAAAAACTTACCTCACCATAATAACAGCACGAAAACTAATGTATGTTGCTTTAATTTTAAAGTTGTATGCATTAACTTACTGGTTAATAAAATTGAGAATGGAAATGGGGAATATGTCAACGAGACAACAACCCGACCAGAGAGCAGACAACAGCCGAAGGCCACCAATGGGTCTTCAATGCAGCGAGAAAATCCCGCACCCGAAAGTTGTCCTCAGCTGGCCCCTAAATAAACTTGTGTGCTAGTTCAGTGAAAATGGACGTCACACTAAACTCCAAAACATATAAATGAACTAAAATTAAAAAACATACTTGACTAACAAAGGCCAGAGGCTCCTGACTTGGGACAGGCGCAAAAATGCGGCGGGGTTAAACATGTTTTGTGAGATCTCAACCCCCCCTCCCCCCTTATACCTCTAGCCAATGTAAAATAAAGAAACACAAAGCAATACGCACAGTAAAACTTAGTTTAACAGAAGTCCGAGTCCAATGTCAGAATAGGTAACAAAAGAAACTAAGCAAAATGACATTGATACATAAATGAACAAAGGACTACTAGCAGTTACTGACATGCCAGCTCCAGACCTCAATTAAACTGATTGGAAGATTATGTCTTCATCATATGAAAATCAAGTACAATCCC